TTTTTTTTCCTCACAATTCTGACTTTAATCTCAGAATTCTGACTTTTTTCTCAGAATTCTGACTTTTTTCTCAGAATTCTGACTTTTATCTCAGAATTCTGACTTTAATCTCAAAATTCTGACTTTTTTCTCAGAATTCTGACTTTTTTCTCAGAATTCTGACTTTTATCTCAGAATTCTGACATTTTTTATTGTCTGATTTCAGTCTAAATTCTGAGATTAAACTGAAATAAAATTAAAAAATCAGTTACGTTTTTTTTTCCCCACCGGCCCTAATCCTCTTCCGTACTTTGCAGAGTGTAATCTGACTTTTTATGTCTGTTGGGAATTTCAGCTCATGCCGTTACAGCAATACTTTCTATTTCCACACTCCCAGCAGCTTTGACTATTATCTTTAAGTATTTTGTTTTCTCCTTCTTGAGCCGTTCTAAGGCTGGACCACCCCCCCCATGCTGTCGATACTCGAATAAAACTGTCTGAACAGATAAATTTAGGGCCTGATGTCACATCCGCAGTACGGCGAGGGAACCTCCGACCCGTACATTAAGGAAAATAGGCTACAGGCTTATAGATGCATCGGCATTGAACTACTGGGGTGTCATTCTGCTCATTTAATGATGTTTTAGTCATAAAAGAACAAATAAATAGGCATTTTTAAAGAGAATTTTAAATTACCACCACATATGCCTCCTTTTTGAATTAAAAAACTATAAATTATCCTTCCAAAAGGTTCCACATGGTTATCCTAATCTACATAAAAAATTAAAAGAGCCGTTTGATTTAGAGTCAGACTGTGAGAAAAATCAGCTTATTGGCCTTTTTCTGGTTGCTCTGCATGAAGACCCAGGGCAGTTTCCTCACGTTGAAGTAGAAGAGCTCCGTCTCCTGCTGGTTGGCTCGTCTCTTTGCCAGGCTGGGTTTGTTCAGGTAGCCGTCCGACACGCTGGACTTGACCGACTCGGAGGAGGGGCTGTGGGTGAAGCTCTGGGAGACGTCGCAGTCGTCCAGCACGGTCATGTCCTGCAGCGTGGTCAGAGTCGCACCCCAGGTCTTCTTCACCTGAAGGAAACTTTTTTTTAATGTTTGGAAGCTGTTATACTTTGACTCATTCTCACTTTATTTACATCCTCCATGTAGAAAGAGCTTCCCTACATTGGATCACGTTACAATCACAAACCTCAGCTTGTTTTATTGACGTCTTAAGTGATGCAACAACTAACTAGTGCATCATTTTATAACAGAATGGAAATCAGTAATAATCTTATCTGAAAAGTGTGGAGGGCCTCTCTGCTTTAATCCTAGGCTGCACATTTTTAAACTGAAATTCCTCCACATAGAATAGCGTGAACTTCAACAAACAGCCTTTTTAAATCTTGCCACCAAAGTTTAGCTTGGATTTAACTTTGGACTTTGACTAAACCGTTCTGATATATAATATATATCTGGCTGTTTGTCCTAGAAGGTTTTAACCCAAACCAGTTCCAAATCTTCTGCAGATCTAAAAGGGTTTTTCTCCAGGATTTTCCTGCATTTATCTCCATCCTTCCTCCCATCGTATCGGACCGACTTTCCTGGTGGAAAAAAAATACTCCCACAGCATGATGCTGCCACCTCCATGTTTACATGGTAAGGATGACATCTTATGAGAGTTAGAAAATGGAAAGATATTGTTTCAGGCTTCCTAAAAGTATTCCATGGGTTTCATTTAAGACTCGTACTACTTTTCCAGGTATTTCTAGTCCAGCTGACTTTAGAAAGTGATGTTTGTTTGCCATTTAACTCAGAGATTTACAGGAAAGTTCTGTAGCTTACATGAAAACATTAGATTAAATAAGAGTATTTAATTCTTTGCAGACTCTTGTTTGCAGCCTTTATAACCGATGTAAAGCTGCTTCTATTTGCCTGTGATGATCAGGGTGTGGTTGTTTGTTGGGAGCTGCTGAGACGTGCAGATGCTGCCCATTAATCCCGACTCCTTCAGCAGTTTTATGCCCTTCAGGCCCAGTTAACAGCTGCCCTCTGCGCCGCACAGCAACGGGGACACGGCGTCAGACTGCAGCAGCAGCAGCAAGTCGCTCAGCTTTATTTTTAGAGGCTACATCTGCTACATTATCACCCAATTAAAACTGTATGAATTACAATGATTCAGTGAGGAAGTTTTGAATCAGGAAACTGCTCTGAGGGGTATTTTTGTTCCGTTTAGTGAGTTTGTTAAACATATCGAACAGCTTAAACATATCTGGGGAAAATGCTCTGTAGCGTTCATGCACTAAAGATGGAGGAATCACATCATTTACAATAGTTGATCTGGTCAAAAAGGTCCTGTGTTCAGGTAACGAGAACAAAGTTTTTATCCATTAATCATAGTCAAACTCATTTTAATCAAAGCTTCTTTTTTTTAGTGTAAAAATTATTATTTAACTTCCTGGTTTGATTATTAAAAAATACCGTATTTTCAGGACCATAAGGCGCACCGTACTAAAAGGCGCAGTCTCAGTTATGTGTGCCATTACTGTATTTAACACACACATAAGGTGCACCGGATTATATGGGTTTTATATACCGGTACTACCTTTAAATATCTCTACTGCGTATTTAAAAATAGAGCGGGAGCTAAAATGAGTATGATTGTGCTTTATTCATGTATTTATTGCAAAGTATTAATCAAACCCATCAAAGTCATCATCCTCTGTTTCTGAATTAAACAGCTGCGCTAAATCAGACATGACAGTTTCCCCTTCTTCTTCGCTGTCGGAGTCGCTTTCCGTGCCGGGCGGCTCCTCGGAAATGATGCCGGCTTTTGCTAATGCTGGAACAACAGAGCCAGCAGACACGTTAACGAGGATTTCTTAACTTTTTAACTTTCTAATGAACTTTTTACCTTTTTTTTGTTAATTTTTTTTTCAGCTTAATTACCAGTAGGTTATATATCATTAAGGGCTCCTCTAATTGGTCAAATGCCAAAATCAGATGTGCAGCCACGTAGCAGGATCTTTGCAGAATGGCTGGATATAGATCTAGTGCTTCTAGACCTCACTGAGGGACGGGGGGGGCTAACTTACCCTATAAAGGATTAATGACTTTTCTTTTTCTTTTTTTGTTTGTTCAGCAAATCTAAAAAGTCTCCCTCCCTCCATCATTTCACTGCGTTTCATCTCTGACCTCCTCGTTTTCAATCTTCAGGGACGCCAGGCGGGTCTGGAGCTGAGTGAGGCGCAACGAGAGCTCCGCCTGAACCTGGGGCTGAGAGGCAATCTGGGTCGTCTGGAGGAAGAGAAACGGCATCATGACTACGAGAGAAATCTGCAAAGCCTCAGATCTGAAACCTGATTAGTGTCATAATCTGTTACAAAACTTTATGATGATTGTTAGATATATATATAGAGAGATCAAAAGTGGTGGATAATAACTTTTTTTTAATTTCGTTTTCTTCAAATGAAACTCATCCTTACTGTGTCGCCCATGTGCGCTTGGAAGCCGAAGCGCTGCGGCGGGCAAAAGGCAGTGGGGTAGAGGCCCAGCAGACGCTGCCTGTCGCGGGCAGGGTCCAGGTTCTCCACAGCCCCCTCTAGAACCTCCAGGCCGGCCCTCCTGGAGGCTTCAAGGCTCAGTTCGGCGGATAGGTAGGTCCTCAGAGCCCGGCTCAGACTGGAGTGGTACCCTAAGTCACAGCACTAAGAAACACAGCAACACCACATCTTAGAAATCCTTAAAACTGTTAAACATATGATAATTGATTAATCTCAGATTTTGAAAAAATGGAATATTGGATGAAAAGTAAGAACTAATCTAATGTTTTATTCTCATTATTAAAGAAAAGTAACCTTTAAAGTGTTTCTGGAAAACTTGCTTTCTCGTTTGACTCTTTGGTTGCATTTTTTAACAATTAACCAAACTTATTGTTAATTATAATTAATGAACCTTGTATTCTAAATTAGTTTTTTATGAAAAAGACTTTAAAAAAGGCTTATATAGACATTATGTGAAATAATTAACGGTAAGGCTATAGAATAGTTGACTCTTCTACAACTTTAAATCAATAAAACTGACAATTAAATCTTATTTTCTGGGTCATCCATCCGTTTCTATTTCTAATCTGTAACCCCACTTCCATGTGGAGTTCCCCAAAGCTTTGTCCTCGGTCCCTGCGCTATGTTTACCATTAAAGGTTCAAAATGAATGGTTCATTTTTAATGTTCTTAACACATTTCAGACAAATGGGAAGCTGGAAGTTTCCTTAATTTCATAAATATATTTGTATTATATAACATTAAATATATAATACGTTATATATTATATTTAAATATATAATACATTAAATATATAATGCGTTTTATTTGGGCATTTTACTTTCTTTAATGATTCTTTTCTAAAAAAACATGATCTTAAAGAGCTTCTTTGAAGTTCAGCAGGTCATCTCTGATGTTACCTTTATTTTAATTTCTTCACTTTGGATTATTCAAAGTCATTTTAATTTTAATGAAATAAATCAGCAGGTCATACTCAGACAATTATAGAACATATTGAAAAATGGAACCCAGCTGGTTGTTTCTGTTGGTGATTAGATAGTTTCTGATTTAGGAAAATAAAAAAGATTACTATTGTTTATAACGAGAAATGATTTTTGAATTAACAAAAAAGCAGATCTTAAAGAGCCGCAGCTTTTCCATAAACGGCGGCTATCAGACTCACGTCGATGATGTCGGGCAGATCATGGATGTAGTATTTAAAGACGGAGGCGTTGGTTGCCTCCAGAGTCAGTAAATACTCATTTCTGGCCTTCAGAGTCTTTAGTTTGTTCTCCGAGTACTTTGCCTTCCTCTGAGAACAAGAACAATAAAACATAAAAATCCATTAACAGTCCTTATTTTACACCGTTCAGATGTATCCCTTCATGTCATAACTGTGTCACCTTCTCTCTCATCTTCTCCATCTTCCGGGCGGCGTTGCGTCTCTGGTGACGTTCCTCTATTCGCAGGCCGAACACGGGCTCCATCCCGCCGCCTGTCCCTGACACGCCCTTTACACGCCCCTCCTGGCGCTCCGCCTCCCGCAGCTTGGCCTCCGCGCTGAACATCTCCGCGTTGTACATGTGATACGTCTTCATCACCTAGGCAACATCACACCAGTTAGTTTGTAGTTAGGTTTAATTGGATAATCAGAGTCTCTCTATATTCTGCCTTAAAAGCATTGATAAAGTGGTCCCACTTACGGTGTAGAGCTCATTCAGAAGCTTCATGAGGTCTTCCTGAAGCTGCAGGAGGATCTCTTTACTCTGAGAAACACAAATAACAAAGAAAGAAATCAACACAAGCTTGAAACATCTGCCTACGCAAGCAGACACGACTCATGGAACTCAGGCAGAGATTACCTCAGCCAAATGTTGAACAATCATTTATCGCTGAGAATTTACTTTTTATTCAGGATTTTTATAGCTTGCTTTTTACTTTGAAATGAAACATTGTGAGTAATTTGGAAAAAAAGCCCCAACTCTTCTTCTCTGGCTGAAGCTCCAACCTGTGACAGTAAATAACTCAAGGAGCTCAAGAAGTAATTCAATGTTGACTACATACACTGGAAAATACGGAAGAGGATTAGGGCCACTGGAAAAAAAAAAGTTAACTGATTTTTAAATTTTATTTCAGTTTAACATGGGAAAAAAAGTCAGAATTCTGAGATTAAAGTCAGAATTCTGACTTTTATCTCCGAAATCTGACTGAATTCTGACAAGAAAAAAAGTCAGAATTCTGACTTTAATCTCAGAATTCTGACTGAATTCTGACAATAAAAAATTCAGAATTCTGATTTTAATCTCAGAATTCTGATTTTAATCTCAGAATTCTGACTTTAATCTCTGAATTCTGACTGAATTCTGACAATAAAAAAGTCAGAATTCTGATTTTAATCTCAGAATTCTGATTTTAATCTCAGAATTCTGACTTTAATCTCCGAATTCTGACTGAATTCTGACAATAAAAAAGTCAGAATTCTGACTATACTGAAATAAAATAAAATAAAAATCAGTTAACTTTTTTTTTTCCAGTGGCCCTAATCCTCTTCCGTAGAAAAAAAAAATCTAAATCTAAAGTAATTTTTTCTTAAAATAAGTGCATTTGTTCTTCAATTGAGGAGGTGAATGAGACACTTTGCCAATGGAACAAGACAATTTACATTTAAAACAATAAAACACAATTACATTGTCTTATTTCAAGTGCATTTTATATAAATATCTTATTTTAAGAGCAAAAATACTCATTCCATTCGCAGATAATCTTATTTACATCCCCACATTAAGGGTAAATACACATAATTTAAGAGATTTTTACGTATTGTGTAAATGATACGCTGCAAAAACAATCTAGAAATAAGTAAAAATGTCTTAAATTAAGTGTATTTACCCTTAATTTGAGTGAGTTAATAAGATTATCTGCCAATGGAATGAGCATGTTTACTCTTAAAATAAGATAATTAGATAACATGCTCTGGAAATAATGCATTAGTTTCTTTCTTATCTTAAATGTAAATTGTCTCGTTCCATTGGCAAAGTTTCTGACTTGCCTCCTAAATTCAAGAACAAATGCAGTTAATTTAAGGAAATTTTACTCATCTAGATTTAGATTTTTTCCAGTGATACATGCAGTATTTATAGCCCTTCCTTCATGCACATCCTTGTGATGGTTGGAATATGGTGTCATTTTCTATTTCTTCAAACTGTAAAATCCTTGCAGCAACTAAAATGCTTTTTTTAAACCAAACTACGATGTTCCTCTTATATTTGGCAAATTTATGTTAGAATATTTTGCAAAAATATGTTGCAGTGCATGATGAGGTTTTGCATCTAAAGGCTGAAGTTTTCTGTCTTACATTCATTGTTGCCAGGTTGGGATGTTTCCCAACACATCGAGTATAAATTGTACCGGCTTTGTCTTAATACATCGAGGATTCACCACCTGCGTTTCTACTCGTGTCCTTTTTTTGTCATAATTGCAGTAAAAGAGGTGATTTTAATGAGAAGTAAAGTCCGCAGAGCTGTGCTGGTCTCGCTGTGGACTTTAACAAATTAAACACACGAGCAATCCCTCTGCTGCCTCTAACTTTAGCTCGCCGTGTTCATTATTAATCTGTCTTCCGGCTCTTCTTTTATTCATGCCAACTAAAGTGCAGCGACTGCCAGCAGCTCTGAGCAGGGGCCTCCATCACATCAAACTCCGCTCAGAGGACAGACGCCAAGAAGAGACATCCGGCCGGGTGACCATGACGACGCCGATGGTCCGTAGGCGCTCTGGGAATGGGAGTCATCCATCCTGGGATTCCAGACATTTTAGCATAATGCAATATTGATGTTGCCACGTAACTCCTTACCCTAACTGCTCAGCTGTTTAATGCATGAGGCAGGGGTTCAGCAGAGCGGGAAGACGAGCTCCGCTTCAATTATGAATTCATTTGTTTGTGAGCGGTCAAATCCATTTATTCCTCTGATGCTCCTCAGCTGTTGTTTTTGACCCGCAGCGTTTAAAGACGTCCTCACAGAAGCCGGCAGTCGATATCTATATAGTAATAAAGTGCAGGAATCACTTTGAGGTTGGCAGGTCCTCTGGGGAAAATATTGTGTGCAAAAATATTTAAAAACCTCCAAAGTAAGAGAATAAAAACAGTCGACTTTAACATTTTTAAAATGGAACGAAAAAATGCTTAAAGTCTCTGGTGGCAGGACTCTTTGAAAAGTAAAGACTCTGCAGACGGGCGGAGCTAGATGGGGGGCCAGGGGTGGCCATGGCCAATCATTACACTGCAAAAAAATTTTTGATCTAAATAAGTCATTTTTTATTGCAATAAGTGCACTTTTCTTGAATTAAGGAGGTAATAAGGAAACTTTGCCAATGAAACTAGACAATTTACATTTAAAATAAGAAAACACAATTACATTGTCTTATTTCAAGTGCATTTTATCTAATTATCTCATTTTAAGAAGAAAATTACTTATTCCATTGGCAAATTATCATATTTACCTGCTCAAATGAATGGTAAATACAATTAATTTAAGAATTTCTTTCTCATTTTTAGTTTTTGCAGTGTAGCCACCCCTGTTGCCACCCCTACCATGTATTTCCCTCTAAGTGGAATATTGAAAACATTTTAATTCTACATATATTAACAATTACTTGACAACAACAACACTGTAGTTAACTATGCACATCAATATACCAACATTAAAAACGATAAGCACAGAATTTAAGCAGAAATAGATTTTGTGTTTTATGGGTTAAAGAGAAAAGATGCGTCTCTGCAGGTCATCTGGGAGTCTTTTTAAATTAAAACTTATTAAATAATCAATTTATGTAGATATTAGTACATTTAAATATCAATCATATGCAGAATGATTATTAATAAAAGTAGGTAAGTAATGACAATGGAAAAGATTTTCGCCCAAAACTCAAACCTGAAATGATTTTATCCACGATACCTTTTGTTTAGAAAGGGTTAGCAAAGGCTGTGGGAAAATATAGTTTGTCTTTATTTAGAAAATATGGATGTTTTGCTCGTTAATTTTCCTGTTGGAACAGTGGAGATTGACCCAGAGGTTCAGTGTACATTAGTTATTGCCTGGCCACCCTTATAAAAATGTTCTGGCTACGCATTGGTCTGCAGAGTAAGGATAATAGTAAAACTATCAAAGAAAAATGGATAAAAATGCAAATATATTAAAAGAAGCCCTTATGGCTGTGAGAGAAAAGGATTGAGAACTTTTACATGTATGCAAGTCAAAAAGACAGCTCATAGAACTAAAGATGACAGATTTCTCCTCATTGAAAACATAAATATTAATCTATTGAATCACTTCCCCTGCAGGTTTATGATGCAACAGGAATGAAGGACACAGCACAATCAAATC